AACTTAAAAGTTTATTCATTTCATCATCGTAACATAGAATTAAACCAGTATCTGCATATTTGACACTACAGTGTCCTAACTGGCATGTCACTTGTCGCGGGCTATGACACTACGGTATCACCTTTGTAGCTGTATGACACAATCCTGTGTTTGTGGGACCAATTCTTGTCACACGATGGGACAACAGTACTTCACATTGTGGTGATAAAATCAAAAATACGACAACAACAAAACTAAGTTTGTAGAATAATGATTTCTACAACAAAATACAACAATGTTATAGGTATTTAATCGTTAAACAAATTTTTAACCCCGAGAAGTCTAGCCTGGATATGTCTTCCAATCGTCTACCAGTGGAACGTGCTGGTCCCGATGAAGCCGGGTATCCTGCATACAAGGGTGATAAACGGCAACCCTTTTTTTACCATTCGATACATTTATGACCCCTATCATAAGGATATAAAGGCCCACTTTCGAGAATATGAGTACCATATGTGACCACTAAGCGCTCATAATAACACCATTGGTCTATTCAATTGCACTGTACATGTACAATATGTATACACATAATAATATACATAAATAATAGAAGTAAATGAAGTAAACACATAATTCGAATAATTTACAGACTCGGGGGTTTCCAATGAAGGGTACTATTTTATCAGTTTTGTTTTTGGAATATACGAATCCTGGGCGGTCGATGAGAGAAAATGTAGTTGTTTGAGGGCGTCAGATGACCTAGAGAATTTGGATTGTCCTTGGATCATTTTAGCGGTCTTTCTTTCCTTTTTCTCTTTGCGTGACGATTTTTGTTGACCTTTTGGTGTAGAATCGAAGAACTGGGTTTATACATACATTTTCTGCCAGGTTTTGATTATTCGTGGTTTTGAGACTGGAGGATAAGAGAGTTAAAATGTTGGTTGCGTTTAATTGTAGGGAGGGGTGAGGACAGTAACATGGTGAACCTCATACATGCTTTTGAGCCAGACTTTGCCACATGTTGCTCCATCTGTGGGAGAACGTCAGAGCCGGTGAAAAGGACGAGACTCAACATTAGACTCAGTGGGGAAATGAATGGTGTGCTGTGTCCATTTAAAGCTTTCGTGTGTAGTGTGGTCCTGTTTTTTGGGATCTTTGGCCTGTATGTCTTCATGCCGGTCATAAATGTACCATATGTTAAAAACAGTTGCCGTTTACCTCATTCTAGGACGATTTATTTCGTTATAAATATTTCATTCTAGTCCGTAATAATATTCAATCGGGCGAACTGTTGCCATCCATTGGTATAACAGTCTAAAAATTGCGGTACTGTTCCAATGATGTGCAAATCATACAACCATTGGACGAAAGATGAAAGGGAGAGAGCGCACAAATGCTACAAATGTATTTCAATAATTCGCTTGCGCGTGGGTTTTTTATCACTGCTCCAGGTATACGGATTTTTTTTTGATTTTTTTTTTGGGGGGGGGAGGGGTCGTCTACTGCTTGCGCTTTAGGTCATAAGGCTTGCGAAGGGAGCCAGTCATTAACGAGATCCGTCTTACGATTAAGTATTTTTCCTCTTCTATTTCCTTATTTAAAGACGCAATCGTATCTTTTTGAGCTAGTCTGAATAACATTTAATAGGCTCAATCCAAAGGCGTTGCATCTGGATATAAGTAGTAGTGGATTTATCCCCCTTGATTTTATACACCGGTTGTGTTAAAACACGTGTCGAGATTACCGAAATGAAATGAAATGGGGTTTAACGGCCTACTGTTCAGCTGCTACTGACGGGCACACACCATGCAGTGTGCTATGGGGGACACTGCCCGGACAGCGATTTTGCGATCTAGGGTTCTTTTACGTGCATGCCAATATGTACACGGGGCCTCAGTCTCTCGTCGTAACCGATTGACTAAACGTTGACCTTTGCTCCCTCCCCCTTCCACACACACATACACACACACACACTGAAAAGGGGGGGGACATCGGAAAATGAACTTTCTCGGGTAATGTAGGTGTAGAACACGTCTTACCCACTGAGTCATCGTGGCTTCCGTAAAGATTAACATTAAATAACATAATATGAAAAGGTAGCATTACACTCTATATTATCTATCTATCTATACTAATATTTGTGACTCGTTTGTCTGTCTGTTTGTCTGTCTGTCTGTCTGTTCGGGGTTGGCGGCTACACTAGGTCTGCCCCGAGTCTGAAATTTGGGGTATAGGGGTACCTCGGACTGGGGAGTAACATAGGCCAGGTGGCGTTAGTCTACCACTTCCGGTTTCGGAGTTATGACCCCCGAGCGAAGCCGGGTATCCTGCTAGTTGTTAATATTCTCGTGTCTTATATTATCAAGCCCATCATAACAACACGTCATCCGTTTGTTGGATGGTATAGTACTTCAATGATCTTTGATCATGACTTCCCACTCACATACATTTTGCGGTGGATGCGGTTACTGTACAAATTGACAATCGAGCCTTTGTTGATCATCGTAACAACGGTATTAATGACAATCGAGGCTAGCCTATAATTATGTCACCTATTCCTTGGCTCAGAGTGAAGTAATTTGACTGATATTGTCAACACATCCTCTTTTCATTTTTAACTATTACAGAGAGAACTGTCAACTCCCTATATAATCTTACATAAAGGTGCTTTAAGTCTTCTATCATTCAAGGTAGGAATCTTTAAACTATGAACTGACAATAATCCCACCACCACCACCCAACACCTTTCATGGATCCAATTCACGTTTTCGTCGTTGTGAAAACTGTAATTCAAATAGAGAGAATTGAATAGATTTAATTAAATCTATCTTTTTTACTCAGATCATTCCCTGCATAGTAAGCTAACTGGATTAGGATTAATAAAGAATATTTTACTCGATTGTCCCATTCACGTCCAGACAATGACAAGTCATTAATGCTATGCACTACATTGTTTCATAATTAATGCGAATTAACGGGAAACGAATCGTCGTATTAGTGGCTTTATAAACACTGGTCCTCTATTAATCTGCCTGTAATCAACCATGTGGAACCATTCAGATATACGTGAATACTGCAGATAACGCCGTTAAATTGCCTAGGGGATGTCTCAAAACTACTACTGTGGTGAGATTGAAAGGCGTGTTTATAGTCTACGTTGATTACTTAGTTCACCAAAAATAGAAAACTCAATTAATAACTGGTTCTTTGAAAGCTATTTTATTCATTATCGCTCAGTGGACGAAAAGATCGTAAGAGATATTAATATTTTACAGTTCTTTATTTTACATCCGTCGTTAATGCTATACTGAAAAAAAAATACACTCCTTTGTCTTTAATTTCAATACTAAATTAGGAAATGACGGAGTATTTAATATTCAGATTATAAATTCTGTTGTTTATAGCTCCTTAAATGCATACTAACTATACTAGCTGTGTAGAATTCACAAAATTTCGAATAGGAGTATGTGACAGCGCATCTGTCTCGGCAATGCCTGCCCCCCCCCCCCCCCCAACACACACACAGACACAGAGACTCTCCAACAGACTATCTCCTAGTTTGACTCTCGTGGTTTTTGTAACTGATCTCCTAGTTAACGCTCTTGTTTTAACTGGTCTTCTAGTTTAGCTCTCGTGGCTTTTTACTGTACTAGTTTAATTTTCGTGTTTATTTTAGTTTATTTTATTGGTCTCCTAGTTTAGCTCTCGAGGTCATTTTTTACTTATCTAAATGTTTTTACCGATCTTCTAGTTAAGCTCGGGTGTTTTTCTGTGTAACATAAAGCACGAGACTGAGGTTATGATTGGGAAAGAAAGACTGTCGAGGTTTTTTTTCTTTAGTCTTTTTTCCCTTAGCATAACCGAAGTCGAGGACTTTATCTTGCTTGTAAACCATCTATGTTTACATGTACGTAAAATGAGAATATCCCAGAATTCCAATAAGAAAAACCTTTTATCATGTTTCTTATTGAAAAAACCTACCTTAGAAGAATAACTTGCTACAGGTTTAAAGAAAAACTTTTAGAAAAATAACCCCAAATTCCCCTGTATATATCCAAAGCCGCCCCGACTTTCAGACCGCAAGTTATTCAGGGCACAGAATAAACCCCAACGATCAAAGAGATTTACCGTTATAGGTTTAGAAAACAGGTTAGCTACCGAGTGTTTTTACTGGTCTCCTAGTTCAGCTCCCGTGGGTTTTTTTTTACTGATCTCATAGATTTGTTCTCGTGGCTCTTTCACTGGTCTACCGGTTTAGCTCTCTTGGTTGCACTTCTTGTCTGTATTAGACTATAATAGTTGTATCCTACTCAAACGGGTATTGGTTAGACTTTTCATATAGTCCACTTCAATCCAAGAAGTATTTTCAGAGAAATTGCTAGTTGAAATCTCGAGACAACTGTATCCAGATGCATATGGGCCCAGTTGATTCTAAAAGTCTGATTCCTTGTGTAGTCTACTCCTAAGCTGAAGTAGGAACCTGGTCCAGGAATGATTACTAATTAAAACAACAACTATTCCACTGTAAGTTATAAGTGTAGCTGTGATTAATGGGCTTATAATGCTCGTAGCGATTGCTTCGGGAATACAATTCTTATCCTTTGTATTATTTTATCCTGTGATGGTAAATACCAATGTCTTGACTTGAATCTTTACTTTCTAGTTCAGAAAATGTGACTCAACTCTTATTAGTGACGTATGTGGGAATTGCGAAAGGGGACAAATGAACAATGAACTCTATTTTATGTATGTGGAAATTGCGAAAGGGGCGTAAAATCCGAAAGTTGTTAATGCATACATCAGGGGACACTTTTGCGAGTTGAACGTGAACAATAAACTCTATAACGTCAGGTTTGTTTAATATCCCCACTCCATCCCTTAAATACCCCATTTTATTTTATTTTAATAAAAGCTAATGGCAAAAATAAAGAGCTCTCAAACGTTTTATTCTTGGATTGCTTCACACGTCAACAACTGCTTCTCAATCGATATACAGGTGGATAAATAGGGTATTATGAGACGGTCCCTGTTGTAATGTCTCCAGGTAGTAGATTAGATGACAGGCTAGTCAAACCCTCTCCTGTTACTGTACACCTTGCCCCACCTGTACGACCTTACCTCTCCTAGCCCGGATTAATAATACACTATCTCCACATAGTATGTAGGACTCGGTTATACCTGATAATACGACCAACAGGGACGAGAAGAAAGGGAAATTCTCGAAGATCCATATATATACTGCTTGGTGATTTTAACTGTGTTATTGTTGTGTATTATGAAGTAAGAGACTATAGACTTGTGTAGTGGGGTAATTTATATATTAATAACAACAGACATCACTGACTGCTGTAAATCTATACACGTGAAAAATGGCGAATTGTATGTGGATTCTAACAGTGTTATGTACCTGTATGGTACAAGGTAAGTATAACACCGATAGATATTGTTATTTTAACTCTTGAACAACTGAAATGTATCTTGTAAAGTTTAATAATATTGTCAGTACTGAAATAGCCTGTAGTCGCTTGACCTGATCTTACAGATGGGTATACCTGGGATTTATGATCTCGGATGAAGGACCTGTATTTGTTGAACCATGAAGCTTGAACTGTTATGGGGCAGTTCGCCATTATAGTAGACTTTAAAATAAAATTTTAAAATAACGTGGACTAAATCCGTTTCAAAACCCCACCCCACCCCACCCCACTCGAGCTTCATTAGTTTAATAGTTGATCCGTTCGTTGATCAGATTAAGCTTAAACGTCCACAATTTAGTTGCCATTTGTATACAGCATTGTCCTAAACATTATCCTTATTTATATATCTATGTAATATGTTAGGTTACATGGGATCTTGTACCAGTCATTTATAATGCGGATTAGTTATATCATATGCCTGCTTTATATAAGTTTCAATGTGCTAATTATGTTATATTTTGTATATAAATCATGAGTAAACACTTCCCTTTTGTAATAAAGCTATAGTGGAATTACCGAATAGATTTATGTAGACTATAAAATACGTACAGGAAAGAAAACAAAAAATAGGCAATTATCAATATTTCTAGTTGGGGTAGAAATTCAATCATTACCTTAAGCTCTGCATTATCAGACCCTTTGACTATATTTAACCTAATATTATAATATAGTGAGAGGAAACACCCAAAATAACATGTTTAGATGAAAGGACTTGTATTATTGCGATATTATCAATGTGATTTGGTTCATGTACTTTATACAAGTTTATTATAATATCAATAGATGAATGATCTGTGTTAGAGGGTGTCACTGGGATAGGACGGGATCTTTAATAGGCCTATAGATACATGGTTTTGTCTTTATTTTGAAAATATCATAGAAACATTCTTAGGAAGATATTTAACGAATAACTATTCTAGAATTCTATTGATTACTTGAAGTTTAAGAAATAAATGTATTGAGATTCATTCTAAAGCAATGAATTTAGATGCCCTCCTTAACTTAGCCATTATTAAAGCAACATTGTTTTAACTGAGTGAATTCACAAATTTTGACTGTGAAAATTTTCTGCCCTGGGGGCTGATGTTCTTGAACCATGACACAATGACATTTCTCTATAGGTTTTAAACAAGGTCAGGCTCCCTTTTGAATTGCGTTCACTCGTTATGGCCAGGGCGTGTCGTATTTCTTAAGTAATTCTGTTCACGGGATTTTCTATATATTGTACATAAGTATAATCTTTTGTACTGATATGAATACTTGTATATATGACCATCTTTTTATGCAGCTCTACCATGAGTCATGCTTTGTTTTGAAAGAAATAATTTGTCCAATCCGGAAGAGTAAATTTAATCTGAGACAGTAATCCGAGGCTCAAGATCCTTGTAAACATATGAGTTTTAGTTTAATATTTAGACTATATATGTTTGGTAGAGAGTCCAGGCTTATCTATTTATTTCATATGATATATAGATCAAGATATAATACATAAACATGTATAGAGAAATTGGAATGTTTCGATAACAAGCATATCTCTATACTATGGTAGTTTATTGTGATGTCGGTACCCCTAAGGGTAGATACGTCTGTACATGTGAAATAGACAATATAAGACATAGATTGACAGGTATCAATCATTTGTTATGATGAACAGCGAGACAAAAGGTGCTTATATAGAGACATAAAATACTATACATGTAGCTGTGTTATCTGGTGTTGATTGCCTGTGGTATTATCCTCGGATGAAGCGGACGTTATGCCCAACAAACAAACGAACGAAATAGATAGAAGTACCATAAAATGTCTTGTAAAAATGGTTATTATGTAGTTATTTTAAAATCTAAACTGTTTGGTTTCCTATACAGCGAACTAAAAAAACGATTTACTTCCAAGAACTCGTTTTACAAAGCCTACGTCAAGTTATATATACCGTATGTGTTGTTTCATGTACCAACAAACGGTTGCATGTTTACCCTTTCTAGAACACCTGATACCACTTCTAATATGAGTAGTTTGTACAGTAAGCGAACTGTTGTAGTATACTGTTATTTTGGGCAATCTCATCTCATTTGAGGAGTTCACAAAGCGAACAAACTTGTACTGTTATATTCTCATACGACCACGGTCGCTAAAAGACATTATGGAAGACATTTAAGTCAACTTTTAAATGACCAGTTTCCAATAATATAAGGATTATTAGAAACATTTGAGGATACAAAATGTCAGAACGCCGAATGTGCGAAGTGTACGTGGGGGTTGCTTAAAGGGACAATAACACTCTTGCTGGCTTGACAGCTCCAGAAAATAAAAAAATAGCCTTATTCTAAGTACTAGATGTGTTAGTGTCTTACCTGTTGTGTAAATTATCCATTAAATCCTCTTTTACTTGTCCAGAGGGTTCAAAAATATTTTTAAATTTAAGTCACATTTGAAAAGGTTTACGTGAGGCTTTTCAAATCATTTAGTTGAATTTTTCCAATTTTTTAAATTATGTGTGTTAAGATGAAATTTATATCATCAATTAATTGGAATATTGTAAAATAGTACAATTTGTTGATCAGAATAAAGATTGGGATATATTATTCAGTTACAACAAGAGTGATATTGAGCCTTTAAACAGATAACACAACACTTGTTTAGACATTTCATTTCCACCTACTAAGTTTTGTTTTTAATGCAATGGAAAATTAATGACATGGAAGTGATACTGTGAAGGTTGTCAGTTAATTATACTGTCATATCAATGTTCTGATTTCTGGACAAACACCAGTTTATGTTTTTCACGCTATGAGAAGAAAAGCAAAGCTGTGAGTCCAAATCTGATAATAGTCTGTGTAAATTGTCAATGGATTATAACGCATTCTTTTGACATAGCCTAAAGATGCTAACAATTTGGTCATAATGGAATTGGTGAATTAATCACTCGGCCAGGAATTATGAAAACTACTTCCATTCCTGGAGCATTTCATAATTTTTGAAATCATAACCAAGACTAATCCTTATTTGACAATCCTTATTTCGATTTACATGTAGATAAAGGTCATGCCCAAATTGAGAAATTACATTATACAACTTGACTCTCGATTAGAAACCCCGTTTTCTCATACCCGCATATTCGGATTTTTTAAGACTAGTTCTCCGTTATCATGTGTGGGTCATGTGTGGTTGACAGTACTAGGCGTGGCTTGGACAATGGGCTTAAAGACGTTGACGAATAGATGTGTCCGTCATAATTCTACAAAAATTATAATGATTTTCTAAATGTAACAGGGGGATCACGTGGCTAAGTGGGTAAGACGCTAGCTCGCTAGCCTGGAGGTCGGGTGTTCGATCCCTGCATTGGCCGAGAAAGTTCATCTAGATTTTCCGGCGTGGTTCTCCCTTGTCAGTGATGCAGGACGGAGAGGCTGACAAGAAAAGCTGTCTAGTCGTTCGGATGGGACGAAAAACCGAGGTCCCGTGTACACATTGGCGTGCACGTAAAAGATCCCTTGGCAGTTGGAATTCGATATAAGAGTAGGCCGTAGTGCCGCTGCCCGGGCAAAATTTCCCTCATAGCACACTGTATGGCGTATGCCCGTCTTCATTAGCCCAGGTTAGGAGCAGAACAGTAGGACGTTAAACTCCATTTCATTTCATTTCATTTCTAAAAGTAACAGGTGTTTTGAGGTCAAGCTTGTATTAAGTCGCAGAATATGAGTCTATAATTTAATTTACATACAGGAAACAGACCTATACCTATTGCTGAGTTTTTAATCGAATCTAGCACCATTTGATTGATGTATTTATATTGGTTCTATCAATTACTGAACTTGTTATTAGACAGGTTAATCGATTTCATGTTTTACTTAGCTCATTTCTCTCTATAAAACATATAAACAGCTTCGTCATATTATAAACATAATAAAAGTACTTATAGTCTATATAGTATACATATTCGACTTCTGAAATCCAATCTATCGCTCCATTGACATAAATTAGTGACGGATGCAAAGGACGAAGCAGAATATGCTTATTCATTGAAAACGCTTCTCATTTGGGAAGTTCGCATTGCTAACAGCCTTACCATAGACACCACGTTAAGATTTGTGATGAAAGACTTTATGAAAGCCATGGGTGTATTTGATGAATCACTCATTCCTGTTACCGTTTGGATTATGTCGTGTTCCTTCAGCATACAGTCGGGCAATTATTTAGTGAAATGAAATGAAATGGGGTTTAACGTCCTACTGTTTTGCTCCTAAACTGGGCTAATGAAGACGGGCATACGCCATACAGTGTGCTATGAGGGAAATTTTGCCCGGGCAGCGGCGCTACGGCCTACTCTTATATCGAATTCCAACTGCCAAGGGATCTTTTACGTGCACGCCAATTTGTATACGGGACCTCGGTTTTTCGCCCCATCCGAACGACTAGACAGCTGTCCTTGTCAGGCCCTCCGTCCTGCATCACTGACAAGGGGAAACCACGCCGGAAAATCTGGATGAACTTTCTCGGCCAATGCAGGGATCGAACCCAATTATTTAGTGTCATCAACACTAACGTAGGTGACAATAGTTATTCAAAGGCCACATCATATTCCACGTCATTGCTCTCTAGTAACTGCATGCGGTTGATTATACGGGTGGTCGTACTATTGGAACGATTATGCGCCACCCTAAACAAGTCAATCAATACCACCTTGAAAATCTCAAAGGGTTTAAGCCAACACCGGAACATAGCCCATAATATTCTAGTCTATTTTTGTCTTGTTGTTCGCATGGTACGCGTGCACATTTTAGTTTTATCACCGTTACCCTAGGAGATTATTGGTACATGTATAATGTTCGATCCATCGAAGCAAATTTGCAGTAAATCATTGTTTCAAGCTGTCAATGTCCTGTTGTATACAGTGCCATTAAAACTAAGTCGTTCTATATCAAGTACAATTAATATATTTTTCGT